GGGTCATAAACAAAAGCCTTCAGAGAATACACAAGCTACGAAATTAGCTAGAAAGCAAAGAATTAGGGAAACAAACATAACCCCAGGGAGTTGTTTAAAATCAATACAGCATTTAGAGGTAAAACCAGAAAAGGGATGGATCGGAGGAATCATGTGTTCAATATCTGAGATTTCATCAGTCATATATTTTACGGACTAATGTCCTCAAGATGTACGAAACATCAGAGATGATTTCTCTGGTCGCAGCACATCAGACTTCCTCATCCGTCTGTGTGCACATGAAACTAGAACTACTGCCTCACGGTTGTCTCATCCATGTCTGTCCGACATGTCAGCAATTTAAATTGTATGAATAAGCATATCAAGTCTTGAGTTACGGACTAAAGCGTGTTTTTACCACCCGTTCACCCGAGAGTCTGAGTGGACGTTTGAGCCAAATTTAAAGAAAACTCCTCCCAGGATCTCCCGAGGTATCGGGGTTCGTGAGATCGGGACGGACAGACAACCAGAAAAACATCTGAATGTGTTCAGTTACACTCACAGAAATGGACATGGACTCCTGGACCTCTTTGTGGCTCACCAGCTGAACGTTGCCGTCTTCATAGTAATGAACCTGGAGCAGTTAAAAGGTTAAGTTTATCTTCACTGTGCAACTCAAAACAATAACACGTGTAGAAAAACGAATCAACAGCATCCCATGAGGTCTATGAGACACTCGACATGATGACGACGACTAACCGTCTCCGATGAATGAAGCACCAGGAACACCCAAAAATGTGTGAATAATATCATTAGAGATTATCCTAAATTTGACCAAAATGAACAAGCATTTCTTTATCTAGCTGTGTAGTGACTAGATGTTAAAAAGCACCTGATACTGAAGCACGTATTCAATTTCAACAGCACAACAAACCCGTTTGCTTGTCCACACGGTGGAAGATGTAAACTAAGTACCTGGATTTTCATGATTCCTGCCACCTGAGTGGAAGAGGGGGAGACGGTGAACTTCCATTCTGACCTCCAGCGTCCATTCCTGAGCAGAGACGAAGACAAAGACTTTTATCACCACAAAGACAATTCCAGCTGTTTATGACCTTATTGAATCAAATATATAACAAGTATATGGTGTCAATTTTGTCAATATGATACAAGTATCAAAACCTTCAACTTTCTAAAAAGCAGACACAATAAAACATCACTCGGAAAAAACTAAGAAACAAAAATGAACCGCCACCGTGAAACAAACGGCAGAAGAACAATACTAAATCCCCACTATAGAGCTCAACATCAACAATCCCTGATACCATTAACAGACTTTTATTTCCCTTTCATATCCTCATCTTGTCACACATCTGGCCCATTGGTTCCTCTTTACACAAACATGGCGGTGACATCCAGGAGCTGTGAGATCATCACACCAAACAACCAGTAAGCCAGCAGCAAAGAGGATTGGGGCAGCTCTCATCCAATTAGATTAGCCTGATCAGAAGCAGCTCAGCCAACACTCTACCGCTCCAGTGGCAAACAAAGTAAAGCCTTTGAAGCATCTTGTACATATTAAAATGAAGTTTGTTTAGGGAACCATCACTGGGAATTCTACAAAGCCCTGTTGGTCTTTCTGAATAAGAAGAAAAATCTTTGCCTGTCATCCTAAAACTGCAAGAGAAGAGAATCCCAGAGTCACAAAGCCCAGTGGTGCGAAACATACAAAACAAGAAAGGAGTCAAAAAACAGGTTGAATATGAAGAAGCAGTCTAAAACATACCAGAAGTTTTTGGGTTGAAACTGATGGCACTCGATGCACACGATGATGGTTTGATGTCCGTCGATGGTTTTCCCGTAAATCTGAAGGAAGAAGAGTATTCTCTGATTTTAACATGTGATGAGCCTTTGTTCTCTCAGCTAACGACCTCTTTAGTCCCACTTCACTGCTGTAGATGTGAAGTGATTGAATGAGAGGGTGTTTGGTGGTTAACGGCTCCATAATTAAGCTCCTGCTGACGCACAGCTGAGATAATGTTATCCACGCGACAACAAATCCACAGCACAGCTCTGTCTTTGGTGTCTGCAGCACAACTGCACTTTACATTAACATATAAGTAGCACAACAGAAGCTTTGTACAGCTTTAGACTGCAAACATTTATTAAATACTGGCCTACCTGTACTTCCTGTGCTGCACTGGGTGTACTTGTTCTTGTTCTTATGTTAATAAATAGAAGTAATGAAGAAAGAAAGACGCTAAAAGTCTTGCAGTTGTCTCTCACACACTTTTTTACAGATAAAAATCCAACATTTAAACTCAACTTCCTTGTAATATGTTAGTTTAGCGGCATCTTACTTAGTGCACCACCCTGTTGTCAGACAGACAGAGACGGAGAGACACAGAGAAAGAGAGACACAGAGAGAGAGAGAGACAAAGAGACCGAAAGAGAGAGAGAGACAAAGAGACCGAAAGAGAGAGAGAGAGACAGAGACAGAGACACAGAGAGAGAGCGAGAGAGAGACAGTAAGAGACAGAGAGAGAGACAGTAAGAGACAGAGAGAGAGACAGAGAAAGAGCGACACAGAGAGCGAGAGAAAGAGACAAAGAGAGAGAGCGAGAGAAAGCGAGAGAGAGAGACAGACAGACAGACAGAGACACAGCGAGAGAGAGACAGACAGAGACACAGATGTGTAGCAATGTCATCATGCAGAAACCTTCGTCAGACCTCATGGGAAAGCGTTTTAGAAGGTCTTGGGGGGAAAGAAAGCATTGTGACGCTACAACATGAGCTCACCCCCCCCCCCCAGTGACATTAGCTACATGGTTGTGGTAATGAGGAAGGCTCTGACGTACGGTGCAGACTCCACTGGGATAGTGCTCCTTGACGTAGGCCCGGACGGCCGAGTCCACGGCGCTCCTCCAGCCCTCCAGGGAGCCGTCGACATCGTGGGGCCGCGGGTCGCTGGCCTCCTTCCTCAGGTGGTCGAACTTGAAGGACATCTTGTTCTTCGGGTCCAGGACCCGGCCGTTCCCGAGGTCGCCGTGTTCTGTGATTAAGACCTGGACGGGGGGGAATGAAGAGTTAGGAGTGAGATAGAAGGAAAGAAAAATCAGAGTGAAAGAGCGAGAGAAGAGGTATCAGGAGAAAGAGGACAGAAAGAAAAGGGAACAACCGGAAAAAGACAGGAAGAACAAGACCAGATGGCAGAAGGCTGGAGACTTTGTGGGCAGGGAGAGAAAAGTCTAGAGATGAATTAAAGGGATGCAATGAGGAAAGGAGGAAGTCAAAGGAAAGGAGGAAGACAAAGGAAGACAGAAAAACACGAGCGTCTTCCACCTCGACAACATCAGACGGGGGAATTTAAAGCCGTGATGTGGCAACGGAGGGACATGATGACATCTTTGCATAAGACACTGCAATCGTTACTGAAGCTAACACACACACACACACACACACACACACACACACACACACACACACACACACACACACACACACACTTTCTGTAGAGGCAAAGGAGAACACTGGGACTTGTTTGATGCTGTAATTCAACCCCCCCCCTCTGCTTTAATGGCATCATAACATTAGTGCAATAATAATAATAATAATCACTTTTCTGCTTCCTTGTCCTGTTTTTTTTCTTGTTATTGGCTCAGATAAACTGCTACTTCTCATATATTTTTACTGCACTTTTGCTGAACGAGAACAAAGAACCTATACCAAACTGCTGTTTTAATCGCTAGCATGTGCAGTAAAACATGCGACTTAAACACACATGGATACAGCATATGAAAGGCATGATTGTCTCGGCTGGAGTTATAATATTCATTATTTATAATATTCATTATTTCAACCACAAAATGAGTATTTGTATCTGTTATCAAACTCCATTTACTTCAATTCATCAAGACTTCTCTCTGGTTTTTTGATACTTTAAAGATGGAGGAGTGCGAGAAAAACAAAAGATTTCTGGACGAGTATTCGATAATCAAATGATCATTTTGTGGGTGAAGTTTTCCTTTAAACAGCTTCAGACTCGTGACGTCACCCCGTTGCATTTAGACGAACGCGTGACCTCACCTGTTCCTCGTAGCCCTCGACTTTCACGGGGGTAAACTGGTCCAGGTTGTACTGCGCAAAGGCACTGCAGAGAAAAAGAGACGAAACATGAGTTCACACGCTCCAACCTCTGTACTTCATGCAAACACACTTCCTGCTCTGAGCTGGATTTAAAGTTTAAAGTTTGACTTCATGATAATATGGACGGAGACTAAAGTATTAACGAGTCGACAGCTGGAGTTTTCATTGACTGCCAGATGAAATAAATAAAAGTAAACTCAGCTGGAACAAACATTACCAGACGCAATATTACACAAAACAAAATAGAAGAATAGAAATAACAAACATGCAGAACAACACGGAGTCTGATTTAAGGATGGGATGATACAGGACTTTAGGAATATCGTCACGAGTGACTTGATAAAGCTGTCTAGCTTGTCATAACAGAAATGATAAATAGTGCCTCATTTAATACAGAGACTCATACAATGTTGATTATTGTTGTTATTTATCCTGTATTTATGCAGGGGGACCTTATGGATTGACATATTTAAGATGGTTTGGTGCATATCCTATCTGTGATGCAATACAAATATTTATTTCTGGTAAAGTGATTCCAGCATGCTTTATTGCCATTTTAAGAGTTTTAAGTTTATGACGATTATCAGGATAAAATCATAAATTGTAACTCTGTTAGCCAGGATAATCGGGACAGGAAATTTAATATCGTCATTTCATATGATGCGTGTTTCGCTTCAGACTTTTAAGTCTTTTTGCAAAAACAAAAACATGAAGCACTACAAGAGGAGAGACTTACTGCGCTGCACCTTCCCTGAGGAGGTTGTCATTGTTGAGCAGCAATCGCACATCTGAGGAGAAACGAGAACAGCAGATCAGCACCACGAACACACCGACGCACAAGACAAAGCCTCAACACACTTAAGGGGGGGGGGGGGGGGGTGAGTGAGGCGGACATGGTTAATCAGCTCAGTGGGAAGAGGCTGTAGAATCACACACAGATGAAAGGAGACAAAGTGGCTGTCGGGCTGCGATAAGACGGGCAGACAGACAGACGCCCAGTTTTACAACAACAATATTATATAAAGATATGTTATTAGGTATGTGCACATACAAGAGATTTGATTCAGTGTTTTTTTGCATCTTTCTTGATGTAACAAATGAATGCTGAATGGATTAACAGACTTTAAGATTGTGTACAGTACATAAAGAGTACTACACATCCTGTAATATTGCAGTACAATTAAAAACTCCATTACTTTTCCATAACTTGCTCCCGAAGGAATTTACACAACAAATGTGCAACAGTCACCAGTGAATATTGTGCATCAAAACTAGAACACGGTCAGATTTTAGCCTCAACGTTTTCATGAGTAGGTTGATTTTAACCAGTTCTGTGTCACAAAAAAACAATTGTTTTGGTTTAAAGCATTAATCTAATCATCGCAGCACTACACAGGATGTTTTAAAGAAGTGTTTTCACGTGCTTTGACGGTGGCTTACGTTATTAAGCTGCATGTCTTTGCTAAATCAATCATTACACACATTATATTCAAGCAGAGACACTTCTTTTATACGTATATCTTTAGGCTGCACTGGATTTAGATGATGGACGGTAGAGAGGTTACAGGTAATGAGGGGAAGAGGAGGAGGAGGAGGGATGAAGGTCCAGTTCTGAGCAAACACATCACATGTTACGTGTTACATGAAGAGAAACCAGAGTAGTTACCGTTGAACACTTCGTTGAACTCTCCTGGCGGGGCGTGGATGACAAAGTTAGCTGCTATGCGTACCTGCAGGCAAGAAAAACAAAAAGGTACAAGTTAAGACTGGAAGTCACTGATCTGACACGGAACATTAACACGATGAATCCGTCTTTATTACACACCATAGGACATTTAAATCTCTTTATTATTGACTGTTTTATTCCTTTTTTTGGACAATTTGCCACCACTTATTTTTTGTTTTTAATCATGAAAACACGGGTTTGCTGCGTTCACTGGTACACTAATGTAATGCCTAAACTTCACAATACAACCACTGACTGTATGTACGCACGGCGGCCAACAGAGGGTGTGATGAGACTGTGTCATGGTGGAGTGAGGCGCTTCAATGTCTCGCCGCGTACGAGCAGTCTATATTCTTTTTTTTTTTACCCCCTCTTCTTTACTTCCTCACTCTGTTGCTGCTGCACCGCAACACTTCCTGCTTCCAGGTCACATGTTAAACTGAGAGCGAGACGATGGCCCCTCCTCCCTCACCCCGTGTGGTTTACAACCATATAAGGACATGAAAATGTGCTGAGGCCTCCAGTGCACAAATTCTCTCTCTCTTGCCCTACCTCTATATGCCTCAACTCCCCTCTATCACAAGCTGGTGTATCAGGGAAGGTGTTCGTGTGTGTGTGTGTGTGTGTGTGGGTGTGTGTGTGACAAGGTGTGTGTGAGAGACAAGGTGTGTGTGTGTGTGTTTGTCCCCTGGGCCCTTATTAGCAGTGTGTGTATACAAGTGCTCTGGCACTCGCGCAGAGCGATCGCTAATTAGTGTGTGAGTGTGTGTGTGTGTGTGTGTGTGTGTGTGTAATGTTGAGATCAAAGTGCATCTGCATTTGTATCTCGCATCCTCTGTCATGAGATCATCATGACACACAAAAAATGTGTAAAAACACAACGGAGGTGTGTGCGTCTCACATGCGTCTCGCTTTGTGAAAACAACCGGTGGGGAAAAATAAGTTGTGTTTGTTTGCGACTCGACGTCCCCGTGGGAAAGACTAATTTGCGTCGGGGGGGTTCTTCCTCGTTTCACTGGACGGAAGTGTTTAAACAGGGTTTCTCCAGGCACTCCAGGGGCAGTTTCCAGGAATACAGGCTTACACATTTGTGATCCAGATCGGTTTTCTGATCAGTTTACAAAGTCGAAGTGTCTTAAAGCTGCATTCTCTCTAGTGTCCACCAGGGGGCGACTCCTCTGGTTGTATAGAAGTCTATGAGAAAATGACTCTACTTCTCTCTTGATTTATTACCTCAGTAAACATTGTAAACATGAGTTTATGGTCTCAATCTCTAGTTTCAAGTCTTCTTCAATACAGCATGATGTTCATTTAGTACATTATGGTCCATTTAGAGTCAAACAGACCATAAAGCAGGACATGCTTTAGGGCGGGGCTACACTGTGATTGACAGGTCTCTACCAGAGCACCACTGTATGTCTACAGTGTAAATTTAATAAATTTGGGTTTTTTAAGTGTTGGTCAGAAAAACAAGCACTTGGATCATCTTATGTTGAGGACATTTGTAAGATGAATGGGACTTCTTCTGACATTTTATGAATGAAATAATATTTTTAGAAAAGTTGTAAATAATATAAAATAAACGTGTTGCAGTCCTCAGGAATGAATGTCAAAATGCTTGTCAAGTCGATTAAAACAAAATATGGACATAAAAATGTCTCCTTTATCAGATTTATCTGCACTTCATCTGGTAATTAAAGTATAGTATGACAGTTATAGACATATGGGACAGTTACTAACTATGAGAATTACCATTTATAATAGTCTGTAAATAAGACAAACTAAGACCCTCATCTGGTTCAAATATCATAAAATTGAACTCTCTCACCCGTCACACCCAGATCTGGTTTCAATAAAGTCTATTAATAGTATTTAAAGTCCACTCTAACTGCTGCTAGATGCTGAACACACTGAAGCCTTTTACCCAGCATGCCTTTGGCGAAAAGGCAGGTAGCACGTTTTACAGGTAGCCAGTCAATTAGTTATTATTAATTATTGTTTAAATCTGAGCAGGCCACTGTAATTACATTTCAGATAGACAAAAAAAAGTGTGGATAAAACACTGAATGAATGCCCTTTAAACTGTTTCAAGATATTCAACACTTTAATTATTATTATTGGCTTAAATGGTGCAGAGCGCAGATCTTTTACTCTCCTCTGTGAACGTCTGTGTGAGCTCGTAGACTTAATTGCGTAGCGCCAACAGCCCGGGAGAGACCGGTGAAGGACTGCACAGGAAACAGATGGAGACGGTTTTACAATCACTTCTGACAGATAACTGTTTTCAGGGCGCATGGAGAGAGGAGAGGAGATGAATCACTGACAGGAGGAGGAAGAGGATACTCCATTAGTGGATTATGAGTACGCCATTGACTGTTAAAAGATAGTTGAGAACGAGAGTAATACTTCCTCTTTCCTCCAAGTACCTCAAACCAGTTCTACTGATGCACTGAGATAACAGCAAGAGAGGAAACACGCATTAAATTAAATAATACACTCACGTTTCCACCTGTTTCTTGCAGGTTATTTACATGTTAAACAGGCTGGACACCGATACTGTTTGAGAATTTTGGCTCCAAAAGCAAGATCCTTCGTCATCCCTCACAGACCTGCATGCATGTCGTTCATCGTTGTTCTGCTGTGACTGATTCTTTGTTTTATTGTCTAAAGATGCAGCAGAATTATGTCTTTAGTCCACGTTTCTATTCACATAATTCTCCCTCAATTGATTGCTTTGCACGTGTTGTTTTATGAGCCTCTGTGTTGCTCGACAATGTAGTGTAAGGCTGTCCTGAATGATGTTTCTTCTTATATTAATATTCTCTCTTCTTTTATTATTGTTTCTGCATGCTTATAAATGATTAATGATGAATAAATTTGTCATTTTAATCTTATATTCTGTTTTTTTTAGGGTGACTTTGTAACATCTGTCGAGGGACTATAGATGAAAAATAGCATATTGGCGCATTTACAGAGATGTTTCTTATTTTGTGTGCACTATTCCCCAGCAAAATAAACCAATGAAGTTATCTTGTTAGCTAGCAGACAAATGGAAGCAAAAGCATGGCCTCCTTTGCAGAAGTAATTACTGTTGAGCAATTTAAATGTTGAGCTGCAAGGTTAAGTATTAACGCCGGCACACGAGCCACTGGGACACTTCGGAGCTCTGAGACCAAAGAGTCTCTGCGGGGAAATTTAGTTAATTATCCGCTTTGAGCCCCAAATAGTGATGGGACGATACAGGACTTTATCATTCGGCAACCTCCGGGTATGAAGAGTGAAGCCAACGCTGAAGTGACTTAAACCTGCATTCTCTCTACTGTCCATCATGGGGCGACTCCTCTGGTTGTATAGCAGTCTATGAGAAAATGAAATGAAAAAGCTTTGGTAAAATCGCACTACAGTTGCACTACAAAAACAGAAGAGCTGACTGTAGTTTGGGCATTTCATGGGAACAGAAGAGACGGCAAGAAGTCGACGATTGCTGCTGTGAGAAACTCTTTTGATGGCTTTTTATCTCCCGAGAAGATCTGACCAAGGAGCTGGAATAATAATAGTGGAGCTAACCGACCCATTCAGAGAACATGGGACATAAACGCCCCCCTGTAGTGTGGGATCTTTGTCCTCTCTTAGGCCTAGACACCAGCTGGTCTCTTTCAACTCGCACTGTATATTGATCCTCATATTACCCAGCAAACCCTCCTTTTCCTTTGCAAAACAAACAGCACCATCCCGACACCAAACCCCACACCCATCCCACCCTCTGATGGAGCACCCGCTGACACTGAAACCACTCGTAAAACTAATCCTAGCATCAAAAATCGCCTTATCACCCCCAATCCAGAGCTGTGGAAATAATAACGGTACAAAACACAGCAGGAGTAAACTGAAAGCAATATTTTTTTGACCCGCGGGCATTTTTTAAGCTGCATCATCTCCCCGAGTTTGGTCCTCTTCCCTGGCGTGCATCCATTTCAATATCCTAAAAAATAAAAGACGGTGAAATGCTTGAAACAGCCGAGTTCAGAGGGAAAACCTGTCTGATTAGGGTGAATATTGATGAGGGTGGGTGACGGGTGCTATAAATCATGAATAATAAGTCCAGAGAAGCGATGGCAGAGAGGAGGAGGACCGTCAGCCGGAGGGCGACTAGAAATGTTCCTCTGCTAATCGAAACCAGGAGATGGCGGCTGGTCGGCTCAGGATGAAATTGAAGAAATGAGGGCATAAATACAGTCGGAGGCAGACGGTTTAATGATAGTAAAGATCATGACTTTTTCAATAATTGTGTTGAACAGAGTAATGACTGTCTGGGGCACTTGCTTCATATTCAGGTTGACACAATGCCGCCTGCTCTACTGTCTTAGTTGCAGGTTCACATATCGTACCAGCGATTGTTTTCCAGGTTTCAGCCCGTTAACTACAAATCACAGACTGTGAATCATAAATGCCATTTTTCAGATTGACTTCCTTCCTTCCTTCCAGGCAGCCACCAGTTTCAGTTCGTCTCAGCTGAGCATTAACGTTAACTTTGCTTGGTAATGAATGTTTGTTTTTTTGCTGTCAAACGTATGTGAAGGTTTTGAGGAAAGCAAACAAAACTCTCTCTCTCTGTCTGTCTCTGTATATTGTGTTGCTGTCTGCTACTTTGTCTTTTCTGATATTAATTGAAAGAGTCAGACATTTTAAAAACCTTTCGATAGTCAATAAAAATGTCAAAAACCTTGCAGAAGCCCATCACAGGATTTAGTGGGTAACTCTTATAGTGATCCTGTCTGTCTGCGTAAAAACACCTTCACTATATTATGATTAAATTTGATTTATTTTTCTTTATTTCTGGTGCAGATTTACCATCCAATTCATATTTAAATATTTATTACAGGAACATAAAGAAATGAAACCGAACAGCTTCACTATTTCGTGAATTTTATTCACCTTCTGTCTCTCTAGTAGCCATGACCTTTTTAATTCCATGTTTACAGCTTGCCAACTTGTCTGGATAGCTGGTGCAAAACCACACTTCCGTTTGCCAACATGCGCACTTATATTTGTGATGATTTTAGCTGTAAAAAGAGACTATAGTCAATGATTAATCCAACTGTTTATAATGACACACATGCTGGACACTTTGGCGATGATCAAACGTGCGTCCTTCCTGGACGGACTCCGACTGCATAAATACTGCTGCCTCGTCTACTTTAAATGTGCACATTTGTCACCTTCAGCCAACACCCCCGATGACTTCTCCTTACTGGTAAAAGTAGTGTCATTTTACCCCCCAGCAGCCAGCTATGCAATGTACGGACTATCGCTGGCTTGCATTACCACCTCCAGTATGTGGACACTCCAGGGCAAAGCCGCCGGTCTTAGCGCATCAACGTTTATCAGTTTATAGGAAACCAGGCAGTAATCCGTTTAACCCTTAAACAGGGCATCAGTGTGAAGCCTCAGCACAGACAGATAACATCTCTCTCACTGCTGCAGTACAGACAGCTCCTCTGTCTATGCATTCTTCAGTTTAAGGGAGATGCCCACTGAGTTTCCAGCGTTCATCTTTGCTATATCTCCCTACGGTCTAAGACAGCTGTTTACAAGCCGAGCTCAGGCACACATCCGGGGTTGTTGGCCCTTTAACTTCAGCATTATCTAAAAAGGAGTATACTTTGTCTGAGGTTTCTTTAATACTTCCCAGACAGCAATAAAACCTTCAAACTGGATCATTTGAGAATAAACCTTGCAGTTTTAGTCTATCTCCATCATAAGAAGAATGTATTTCTGTAATTTATTGTACTTTGTGAAAGGTAACTACGTAAAAGGTTTATATATTTGACATACAGACGTCCAAATCTTTGTACGGATCCTGTAGGATGCGTAGACTAAATATCCAGACAGGCGTTATTCTAAACATGGTATGTCGTAGATGCTTTCATTCATAAAGCCTTACTGTACCAGGACTACATGCATTATTTACACTGGAGCCCCTAGTAGGAATCACGCCACCATCCCTGGTATTGTCAGCACTCTGACAATTTACCTTCTTCTCTGGCAGTATAATAAATGAACTGTTATGCTAACTTAACTGCAGAAGTGACATTTGGCTGCTGTCCAGTGTTGGCCATCAGTCTCTTTACTCTATTATTTGTGTAACCAGTGTAGCATGAAAGCATGGTGGAATTAGCAGGCTAGCTAGCTAACGAGTCAGCTGCTTATTGAGCCAAATTTAACAAGTTAATGCCTCTTTCACGCTCTCTTGTCACAGCGTAGAAAAGCACATCTCACATGTCGTTGAGTCGCACAAGGAGCCGACTGTAGGACCAGTTTGAGTTTTGCCTTTGTGATTCTTACATCCCCTATTGAATAAAACTCCTTTTCACGAGGCTATGGATTCTCACCAAACCAGCTGACAGAAAAGTCTGCTCTTTCTGAAACAGGAACCAAAGCACAGAAACCTCGAGGATTATTTTGACCTATAACGACTCCAAGAAAAGCTAGCAAAAAATACCTCTTGTGTAAAATGCAATGTACACTACTCAATGGAAGTGTAAGCTACAGCAAAACAAGGTGGGTAGCTGCCATTTGCTTATAAATCTTGCTTGTGGGTAGTGAGTTTGTCTCCTCTGTCAATCATTTTGCCATGTGCCGGATTATTGTTTCAGGTATTTACATGCAGAGAGAAACAATCAAGTTGACAGGTAATGTAGTTTGTTAAAAAGTGCTTCTGGTACCTGTCACTTAAGTACAGACAAAGGACACACGTTGCGTAAGAGCAGCTTCCTGTTATACCCATGTGTGGTTTCTTTGGTGTGATCAGGAAGCTGGCAGACCGGTGCCCAAATGACTCAAAAACACTACAAGCGGAAATGTGTTATCTGTGACAGAGACTCTTCTCACCGTTTAATCATTTACAAATGGAAGAGACTCGTTAGAAATCCCCCCATCAGGGAGCTTTCAGGTCTGACAACAGCAACAACATGGAGATTTCTCATGGGACACGTTTAGGAAGAGACAAACCTCGAAGCTATTTATTGTGTTCGACACGGAAGAAATGTCCAGGGTCAAATTTTCTAAAGGCTACCTATCAAAACAGTGTCTTCTTCCTAAGCAGATTGAACAGCCATCACAGTAATGAGACAGATTGCAGCTGGTGAGGATTCCCACGATAAGAAAGTTTGTAGATTTGTCGTTCAAATGTGGGGAAAGTACCAACAGACGTGTGCCAGGACATTCTGGCTTCGGCTGATCGTTTTATCCGCTCCCTGGCAGGCCACCACACATTTGTAGTTTTATTCTACAAATCATGACTAGCCAGTGGAAGAGTTGTTCAAATTGACTAGTGACTTTCGGAAACTATTACCCACTGTCAGTGTTATGCAGTTGAAAAGCAAAAGGCTCATTTCCTCCTCCTTTTGCAGTTTTCCTCAGCACTGCTTAAAAAAAGAAAAGAAAAGGGCCGAGGGCCTGAAACAGATGGCCGATTGCTGTGAGCTAATGTGCTGGAGAGACAGCCTTCAAAGTACAAAAACACAACGGTGGTGTTTGCATTGAACAGCACAACATACAGTTGGGATGGATGTAACCCACTTGGTACTGCACCAATCGTATCCAGAGAGAAATAAACAGCTTCCCCCAGCTAAACACTGCGTATTGGCCGAGCCCCCTTTCTCTACAAGACAGCCTGGCAGGTCGCTAAACCATCATTCTCAGTTTCAGATCTACGAAATCAGAATTGTCTGGTCAAAAAGTGACAAATGTGGAAACCAATGTGGTTAAGAGATGAAAAGCAGATCCCATCCTTCTCACAGCACCAACACTTAAAGTTGTTACTAGCTTAAACCACAAGCCCAACACCATGAACACACACCTGAAAACATTTTCGCCATGTTGTTGTTTTTAGCAACCAATGAACAGGAAGTGACCATATCTGGACTGAGGAGTGACGTAGAGACGCCTAGTAGAGACCTGTCAATCACCGTGTAGCCCCGCCCTAAAGCATCCCCTGCTTTATGGTCTGTGTGACTCTAAATGGACCATCATTTACTAAATGAACATCATGCTGTATTGAAGAAGACTTGAAACTAGAGATTGAGACCATAAACTCATGATTACAATGTTTACTGAGGTAATAAATCAAGAGAGAAGTAGAGTCATTTTTTCATAGACTTCTATATAATCAGACTTCTTTTTACAACCTATTTATTTATGTATTTATTTGCCGTCTGTTTTCATATTTAATCTTTTGGGAATTTACAAAACATGTTAAGCAAGTAACCAGAGCTCATGGAGATTTCTAAAACGTGCTATTCAATTTACAAAGCCTTAAAAAAAAAAAAAGAACATGAAGTGAATCTGTAACGATTAAAGCAGTACATTTCCCCCCCAACTGACAAACTAATAAAAACAATTACCAAATTGTCAATAAACTGATAAATAGTCTCACCGGTAGTGCTTTCAAGCAGTAGTTATCTCTCAAAGCTGCTGTCAATATGCCAAAAAAATAACTAAATCAACCCATTTATTAGGATATTACAATAAAATACAAGTAGGATTTGTGTAAGCAGCTCATGCTGTCTCAGGGTTTTGTCTGTTTGTGTGTGAGCTGTTTTAAGGAAATGAGAAAATGAAACAGCCAGACAGCAGCAGGGGGGGGGGGGGGGGGGAAGGATAATAGGAGTGGTAACAGTTAACACCGTTAACGTTACGCAGCTTTAAAGGGTATAACCTCTTTATGGCTGTAGACACTAAAAATCTGTGCAGTATAAATACACTGTGCAATACTACAATTATTCTGTCTGTATACATAATATTTTAGTTATTGTGGATTTTTGACTTTTTATTTATTTAATATTCTTTACTGTTTTATTGCTTATTTAAAATATATTTAATATAATATTAAATAATATAATAATAATATATATGTATATATTTAATAATAATATATTTATTAATATATATGTATATATTAAATAATATATAAATATCTATAGTTCCTCCATATTTTTTTGTACCGTCTGTGAAACGTTACTTATTAAAAGGTACAGCTGTTAGCATGCTAGCTTGTAGAACACCCACGGTTTGCTGTCACATAGCAAATGAAATCCGGAAATGTTATTAATTGAAACACTCTTGACAATTCACCACTTTGCTGTATTGTGTCGACAGAAAAGCGGTGTCAACACAGTGAAAAGGGCGTGTTAGTAAGTCTGGAGCTGTCTGTTAGCAGTGCTAGCTATGCTAACGTAACAAGCTAGCGATGTGGAAACTTCCCTCACACAAAAACAATAAGAAACACAGAACGGGGGCGGATAACAGCATGTGCACAGACACGAGAATAGGGCGTGGGAGTCAATGTTAATGTGAGTTTATTACAATATGTACACGGTTCCTATTTTTGAGCCAGGACCGTACAAGGAGCCTCCGTTAAAACGAGCGGAAGTTGGAGCTAAAAATAATAAAGCAGCAGCAGCGGTATCTCTGCTGAGGCCTGGAGGAGGTTTTAGTTTCCTCCAAAATTCAACTTAATCCCGGTCGACGACCGAGAAAACAACCGGAGGAAGACGGACTCTAACCGCCGCACACGGTGCTCCCTTAAGCTTGAGTTTGTCCAGCGATTAAATCGGCGTTTTACCTTCTCCTCGTCGGATAGCTGCTCCTCATGATCCGCCATCTTTTCTTCCGGCACCACCAAGCTTGTCAGAGTCCCGTGACGTCACCGCTCGCGGGGTGGATTCCCACAGCTTGGCTTCGGCGCGTGATTGACGCTACAGTTCACGCGAAGCTTGCGCGTTTCGCATAATTCAATAATGTGTGTATGCTTGCAAAACTAATCACTGTGCTGTTTTTTAAAATTTTTATTATTAAATGTAATTGATTTATGCAGACTTGTCTAAGGTGTTCTGTACAGCTCTCTGACTTTATTTATTTATTTGCAAAATATTTTTCCTCCTGGGTGTCAATAAATAAACAATGTCTCCACGTGTGCCACATCTTTTGGATTATCATCTCAGTACATTGCACATGTCCTACAAACTTTGCACTGTGAACTTTTGCATATTTCTTGGACTATTTTTTCTCTGCATTGTGCAACATTCCTGCACAAAAACAGATATACATATTTTTAATATTTGTTTTACATATTTTTGTTGTCATGTTTTCTTTTTTATTTGTGTTTCATGACTGTTGCAGTACTTCCTTCTATCCTTTTTATGATCTTAATATGTTTATTGTCATGAACCAAAGAACTAAGGCAAATTCCATGTATGTGAAACCATATTTGGCACCAAAAAAACATGATTCCAGATAATCAAATTGTATTTTATTTTAATATTGTACAGTGAGCACATCTGAGGTTCATATTAAGAATTGTTTTATATTTCCTCTTTTTTTTTTTTACAGCTTTTGGATATAGAACAAGGAAGATTCTCTTCTTTTTGCTTCTCAATTGTAGCATTTACAGATGGTGTAGGGTTCCAATCCCGCGTGTCCCTTTCTTTCATGATTTCATCATTGGTTTCATCTAGCAGTGTAAATTGTGCAGTCTCTAATGTCAAGTCAGAAAAGTCTCTAAACGTCTCACACTTGTTTTTAACTTTAAGCACAAATGAGCATATTGAAGTGCCTTTAATGCTGTGTTAAAATATATCGGTATTAAGTTTGTTTTGTCAAATGCAACACTGACTTAACATGCATGCTCTTTCACAGAAATATAAAATTTTTTATGTTCATGTAGACCCTCACATTTACACCCAAGGGAACCTTGTATTAGATGCAACACACAACAGTCATTTTAAAGAAATCCTTCCTCTTCCATATATTAAGAAAATGTCATGTTAAGGTATAAATATGTCTTCTACATCAATCTGGAGGAGACATGAGATTACCCAGAGATGCTGCCACGTTGTGTATGTCGTGTTTTTCACCACCAGATGGCGAGCTAAGACTACTTGTTTAAAAAAAATACTTTTCTGTTTGTCAGAGGAATGAGGTCAGTTTCACTGTCTGACTCATTCCCCTTCACACTAAAAAAGACAGCATGTAACTTAATACTCAATACAAAAAGACCGTAGCCACGCTGAGACAGAGGGAGGGTGAGACAGAGAGAAAGAGAGGTTTGTTAAATATTATCACAGATGGCGAGATGATTGTGAGCTTTTAGGAGGTTCAAATGATTCAGTTCAAGCGGTGAGGAGTCCAGTTGAAAGGATTCTTTTTAGTCACTGAAGTCTTGTTCGCTGCATCTTCCCGATCCAAGCAGTGTGAACCTCTATATGTGCAGAAACACACAACCCAGTTCCAAACGCTTACATCGGTATGTGTTGCCTTCAGTCACAAAGGAACTTTTTAGATCCTTTGCGGGTCAAAGTAGTGGTACCACCATGAATAAAATACTCCATTACAAGTAAAAGTTTTGAAGTTTGTTGTAGTAAAATAGAATTATGAAGTTGCATAAAATGGAAATTTTATAGCCGACTTAGTTACCTTAAGTAGAGACTATAAAGCTAAAAACAAGCTAGTAACCTTTGTGCTCAATACAAAATTCAGAGCATATCTATTGGTTCCACACAGCTCTCAACATGGTGGCGGTTGAGCCGGCGGCTAGGAGCTAACGGTGCCAACAGTGCTAACAGTGCAAATAACAGCAACAATGCTGACAGAGCTAAAACAGTGTTTACCTGAGCTACGCTTTCCGTGACCACGCTGTTGATCGGGACCACTTTATGAGCTGTAACCAAGAACATCACAACAACTTTCTCTTTTCCCCCACAGGTAGATTCTTGAGGTAATGTCAGGTTAAGCCAACATTGAGATGTAAAAATAACCCTTCAAACTAAACTGCTGCCTGACGGCTACGTTCCTCCCCGATGACGTGCCCATGTCCCTCTCCCTCCAAGACTGTAATCTATCGCTTCCTTCTGAAAAGACTCAAGTCTTCAAGCGATGCCAACACTCTGTGTTTGTTTAGGTGGGGGTCACCTCATCACTGGTGTTGCCACCGTGTTACACCACTCTCACAGGTGAGAGCTGTGAAATGATAATTTATCTCTTACAACAAGCCCGACTCTGTCCGTCCATCACCTTCTCTTTCATCCACGTGCCATCACAGCATCTATCATTACAGATGTGACACATTTCAAATGTAGTCAGTGTTGTTTTCTTCTTTATTTGTTGCAACTTTCATTACAATTCACAGACAAGCCATACAAACACCTTCTGGACCTGGACTTTAAACTAGGTATGCTTAACATATCTTGTACTTTTCATATAGAAGCTCATAATTATCATAATTGTGCTTCTTCAGATTTGGGATGATGAGGCACGCTGGAGGATCAAACCGAAGGGATTAAAAAAAAAATCCCTGTTCTCTGCCTGGAATTTGAACGGCCATTGTGTCGACACTGGAGCCACTCATCACCTCCGGGGACCAAAAGGGGGCATTGAGAGCTCCCAAGTTTCTCTGCGCCTGAAAGGGGCGCCGCTCGGTGACTCTCCCCCCAGCCACTGGGTGAGTCACCTCGGATACTCATTACACCGTTCCCACTTGGACAATAATCAACCCGGCGGACTGAAAAACTTTGAGGTGTTAAAGATGCAGAATGACAAAGCCCTGATATTTATTTGTTGCAGAACGTTTGTGTACGAGTATCATTTTGGTTACACCACGCTGAGTGATGGTGTCCCTCTCTGTGAGTATCAGTGTGAGAAATGTCTTCCTGGCAGCGCATGAAAGTCGAAGGAGGCAGCACCATGGGGATGAGTGAGACTGTATTTCCACACCTCCTGACAGTATCTGGTGGAGTCTGCTTTGTGCCAGTTCAATAGTGTGCCTTGTTGAAATGCGGGGCAGCAGCAGCAGCAACGCAGATGGATGAGGTGCCTGCACAGAAGAGCTACAGCGGAGGTGTAAACCTGCACGTATACCTTTGGAGGAAGTCAGGGTGTGGTTTTTGGTGAGGTGATGTGAGAAAGCCTTTTTCATTTAGCAGCTCTGGAGGTGTTGCTCTGTAGGCATACAGCAATGTCGGTCCGTCAGTCCACCACTTTGGTCCAGACTGAAATATCTCAACAACTATTGGATGAATTCTCATTGAGTTTTGTGCAGACATTCATGATCCCAACAGGATGTGATCCCCTGACTTTTCCTGTACGACCACCAGCAGGTCACATTTTGCACTCATCCTGAGAAACATCTACTCGGTGGATTGGCACGAAGATTTGCACAGGTATTCGTGGTTCCCAGACAAGGAATCCTACTGACTTTGGTGGTCACCTGACCTTTCCTCTTGCACAGTGGTGCTGTGCATGCAGCCATGAATGAGCACCCAAAACATTACGCAGTTTGGTGCAGCAGTGTGCAAAATTAGCTGTGGACAGATGCATGCATGCACTCACAGACAAAACCAAACTGAGATACTAATTCATTTATTAAAAATGGACAATAATCAACCCTTTGAAATTTACTTTGAAAGTAAATAAGGTACCAGAGTGCATAAAAAGCAAAAAGTGCCAGGGGAGGATCTCCAAATGTCTGAAAATAAATGAGTTGTGGGAATTTTAATGTTTTTCATGTTATCTGCTAAATATTATTAATGTATGTTTATTAACTGGACCACTGGCCTCCTGTCATTTAGCAAAAGTTGCCCCCGGGCAAAGCAAGTGGAACTATCCAGCACCACCACAAGGTTCAGACATTTATGTACTGTGCATTTTATACAACGCTTAAATGTCTGTGCAGCATGAATCATGATGCATTAACTTTTCCCCTCGTGTCATCTTGGGATCAAAAGTTCATTTTTGTCCAATACTTTGGTTTATGTGTAAAATACCTGCAAAACCAACGACATTCCCATCAGCCCGAGCTGTACTTTGTGTTTTAATCGGCACATGTTAGCGTGCTAAAACGGTGAACTAAGGTGTATTGTCGTTGTGAGCATGTTGTCATGTTAGCATTAGCTTTTTAGCTCAAAGTGCTGCTGTATCCAGGCCTCACAGAAATATGTAAAATATGTCTGTATGTCTTTAAGATGTGTTCAAATGTTTGTCTTTTATTAAGATGTATCTCTAGTAGCCTTTTTTCTTGTTGTTATTTGCTGATTTATTTGCATATTACTGGTTTGCTTTCAATTATGCTATTGTCCCCTGCCATGTGTGTATGTGTGTGTGTGTGTGTGTGTGTGTGTGTATATAAAAGGAGTTTAACTTCTTTCTTGCAGAAAAAGACCCACTAAAACACCACATCCACCTCCAACCCTCCTTGTGGGACTTTGGTGCCCCACTAAGCCACAGATATGAGCTTTCAACGCCAGTCTGGCTGTGATCACACTCCCCTGGAATTCCTCGGTTCGCCAGCACTCCCAGTCCTGATTATCGGTCCTTTCACAGCGATTACATTTTTCGTCTGAGTGATTGCGGAGTTATTCTGGTGAGGAGGCTTCCAACCACACTTGGTTAGTCAATGAAAAATTTGAGGATTTCAAGTTTACGTTTGGAGATTAAGTTCTCAGGCTCGATGAAATGACTGTTTGCTGAGTGTTTCCTGCGAGTCAGACACCGAATGTGTTAAGTTTCTCCTCTCACCTATTAGAATGTGATATTTCAGAAGCCTGTAAAGACTGGAGAGCGACAGACATACAGCAGGTGGAAAAAGAAAACTTTCCCCAACTCATCCCCAGGGTCATGCACAAAGACCCGCTGACCTCAGGAGGAGATTGGATGCTGGAATG